TGACCGTGTCTAGAAAAGAGAAGTATTATATGCTGAGTTCCAGGCTAAATGGTAATGAGGTAGAAAGAAGGAAGGAGCTTATAATTTAGTAACTGGCCCCAGTTAAGTCTTCAAGGCTAAAGTGAATTGGTAAGTTGATTATATAGGTGGCAGGTAGCAGAGTAGGAATTTAGACCTAAGTTCTCTGATTTATTTCTCAAAGAGACCATAGTTGCTCACCTATATGATGAAGGATGTCATCATATGATGAAGGAGGCATTTCCTATTGGTAGTGAAATTCTCTGGCTATTCTGGTCTGCAGATAACATTGTACTGATACCAAAAATCCCAAGAATACTATAGGTTTCCTAAATAAGACTTTTCAAAATAGTTGGCCTAGCAATCAAAATGTTGCCCAGATTATGACAATTGGATAGGCAGCCCATGGAATTAGTTCATCTTTACATACGTCTTAGAATAAACTCTAAAGATGGATAATGAGCTTGGCTCAGAATTGAATAGGAGGAAGAGAACATACCTGGCACTTTAAAGTATCCCATGTTGTTCCCTAACACAAAAGCCCATCTTTTCAACACCAGTATTCTCCCCATGGCACAAATCATGGAACACAATGAACTCTAAAATAAAAAAGGGGCAATTAAGAGACATCTGATGGATTACAGCACATTAGTAACAATGACTTACATTCAAGAAGTGGTGTAACAGAGATGATAAAAAAAAAACATATGATTGGAAAAGCTGGGTCAATCATGTAAGAAGATCCAGGGAAAACACACGGAAAGCCCAAGGACTACACTGGTGCCCAGCAAATGTTCAAAAGTCTAGAGACCAAAGAGGTGAAGGAAAAAAGGTCCCGTGTGTACCAAAATACTTACAGTAATGCTTTCTGTGGTGTCAAAGGGCTGAAAACTAAGGGAGTATCCTCGGGGAATGCCTGAACAAATTATGGCATTTAAATGTAATGTAATACTATTGTACAATAAGTAATGACAAAAGGAATGGCTTCAGAGAAATCTCGAAAGACTTGTATGAACTGATAAGGGATGAAGTAAACAGAAGCAGGAGAATAATTTATATATTAACAACAGTATAAAGACAAACAACTTGGAACACTTAAAACCTTGGCTCAACTCAACGACCAATCATGATTTCATGGGACAAATGTATTATGTTACTCATTTCCTGACAGAGAAGTGATGGATTCAGGATATGGAATGAGACATATTGGACATGTTCAATGTGAAAATTTGTTTTGCTTGACTATGTATATTTCATGCAAGGGTTGTGTTTCTCTTTATTTAAATGAAAAGAAAAGAAGTGAAAGGTACAGAAAATACACTTCCATTCATTAAAAAAATAAAATTAATTTTTTTAATGTGTAGAGACAGGCCTCTAGCACATTAAGCAGATCATCTACAGAGGATTTGTGGAAAGTCAAGGACAAGAATGACCCAGGACAATACAGCATAGATAGATTCTAATCTGCATTGGTGAAGAGAATATTCACTTTAATGAGGTCATTGATCTATCAAGTCATCAGACAAATCTGGAGATGTGTCATAAACATCTATTGACTTAATTTTTTCTAATAAACAATTAATGATAGTCTCTCAGCAGTCTTTAAGATATATTGGGATTTAGCACTCATTTTACCTAGAAGGGAAAAAGAAACTCAGGGAGAAGAAATAATTTTCCAAGAACCCAGAGTACAATGGCAGAGAAAAAGCTGGGACCAAAACCCAGGTCCCAGACACCCCAGTCCCATTCTTGCCCCTTAGGTAATATGCATAGCACAATATTTGTATAAAAGCTGTGAAATTTTGGGATCTCTCCAGCTTGTCTTTCCAGATTTTCTATGCACTGTTCAGAGACTCGTGCCTCCCAAATGGAGACCCAAATGGAACTAGACTATATTAAAAGTTTACACTCACCATTTCCACCCCCTAACACACTTCACCAAAAATAGTGATTCTGTAAGGTTCAGGGGATGGTAGGAAGGAAAAAGAAGGTAGGAACTCTGTGGTGCCAGCCTTCATTATAAATGTAGGAACCAACCACCAACGTGGTGTGATTTCAAGAGCATCTCAAAGGAGACTTACCCAAAAAACATATGTATTGTCTCTAAAAGCCGATTCCCGACATTCTATCATTAAACAATTACTCCTTTGGCTTAAGGTTTTGTGCTCTGTTAAAATTCATTATTATGGAGTTCTCTGGGAGAGGGAACATCACAAATTCTATTAGTTTGTTAAACTTCAGTATCAAAGATCAAATCAGACTCTTTATTGAGAACCAATTTCGATTTGGATGGGAAAGTGGACGCAGGAATGCAGCCTAGAGGCGGTGAAGAGAAAAAACGACTAAGAAGGAGACAAGGAGGGAGGAAAAAAATGAAGAAAGGGAATCACCTTCTCCCATCTTTTCCTTGTTTCTTCCATAGCACCTAGTAGACTATCTGTACAGTGTAGATGCTCAAAAAGGATGGGATGAAGGAATGAACAAATGAATAATTTGCCGTTATCGTCTTTTGCCTGACATTCATGCCAATTCTTGGCATTCCATTCTAAAGCCCTTCACTAACAGTTCTCTGTCTGGACTCTCTCATCCCTAGCCAAGCCCAGTTCATGCAAACTTGCTTAAAACACCTTTCTTTCAATCATCTCACTCCCATTTTCAGCCTTCACCTAAGCAACAAGATCTCCCTGGAATGACCTTTCACTATCAGCCTATAAAGCCATCTCTCTTGTATGGCTCAAATAACTCCTCAAATCCCCCTGGCAACCTTAGAGCAGAGCCAGGATTAAGGGTAGGTAAGCTATCCCAGGGCACAATGTGATTTAGTGCCTATGTCTGGGACAGGTGGAAGAAGGGCAGCATAAAAAGGGACACTTTTAAATGTGATTTTTAAAATAAATAAATACATATACTTTGTTGCCGGAAAATTCCTATGTCCATGATTTTTAGGGATTAATTTTATGATAAGGAAATAGCACCAACAAGAGCCAAGTGGTAAGTGGCAAAGCAGGAATTCAAACTCAGCCCCTCTGACTACATATCTATCCCTCTTCCCATTGCACCACACTGTCTTTGGGACTAATTTCTACTTTATTTCACTCTTTTAATAAAATTGTGTCCTATAATTTTGTGAAATCTATGTTTGCATGTGAAGAATAAGTTTCAGTATCCTAGAGAAGTTCCATATATTCATTGTCTCTAATTTCGAAAACCTATGGTATAATAACTTGAATGTTGTCCTGTGCAAATGTGTCCTCTATATAGTATAATTCCGGGAATCAGGAGAGCCTCTCATTAGTCTGAGTTGCTCCAATTCGCTTGATGAGATTACAGGTTGTGGCCCTTTGTCCACAGAAAGAGAGGAAGCGCTAGACTCTGTAGTCCCTATCAGTAGGATTCATCTAAGGAGCCAGCACCCAGAAAAAAAAAAAGTGCTGCTCATTGAAGTATTTGGGGTGATGCTGATTCCGTTAAGCAGAACACTTGGAAATTACACCAGTAGGTCTGGGGTGGGGGAAAAATTATTTATGATGTGGAAAGAAAACATTTTGACAAATATATTTGGGTAATAGAGGGTAGGGAGGTAGTCTTTATATGGTTGCCCTCATCCCCATCCCCTTTTCAAAAAATGGGTATTATTATTGATGCATTTTGTCTTTACATCATTGTTATTTCTTGAGATGCCCTTGCCCTGCCTCCCTTCAATAAAAGAATTGAACCCTCCCTTATAATGAAGAAATGCAATTCAAAAAGAAAAAAAATCATCATGGTGATCTTATCTGACGATGGGAGGTAATATTCTGTCTTCAAAGTCCCCTGCCTATCTACCAAGAAGAAAGAGGCATATTTAATGTTTAATTATCTGTTTTCTGGGATCACCTGTCCACCTTATTGTGGCCTCCACACAAGTACAACCACAAAATGGTATAAGCCTTCAGTGAAAAACCAACATGGAGTCCCCTGGCTGCAATATTCCACCTTACTTCTACCCCAACTAAAGCACAGGGCACAGGGCCCTTACCTGGAAGGGTAGCTTAGCCCAAGAGCACTGGGGTATCAGCATTCTCTCCTCCTGAAGGGGTTTATTGTTAACAATGATTAGGAAGGTAGAAAAAAATGACCTGAGTCCTCAGAAAAATCAGCCTTCTGTTCTCCAGCTATGATTGGGGTGACAAAAAGGATCCCATGGTCCACACAGAAGAAAGAGCTGTGAATCTGGGATAATCCTACTCCAACCCAATACACACACACACACATTTCAGAGGGGTCATGGTGATAATCTTCAGTCCCCTATCCACTGGGCAGAAGGGGTGTGGGAAATCTGTTCTGCCCTCCTCTGTTCAGTCCCGGAGCTAGTTGGCAAACAATCAAGTTGGTAGGGGGTGTGCTTTGTGTGTTGATGGGGGAGGGAGGGAGTAGTTAGTGATTGGCAGGTTGCAGAATGCAGATAGGGAGGTGTGTGTATGTCTGTGTGTGTCTGTGTGTGTATTTGTGTGTTTGGAGGTGGAGGGGTGTTTGTGTGTTTGAGGGGTGGGAGCAAGGTGTGATCCTGAAGACAGAGAACTGTCTGGGGTGTGTATGTGTGTGTGTGTGTGTGTGTGTGTGCGCCCCCCTGGGGAGGGGTGGGAGCAGGGTTGTGTGACCCTGGGCACCAGCTAATTTACCTGCCAGGCCCTTTCTGTCTTCCCCACTGCCAGTGCTTGGGAAAGGGTTACCTGATCGCCAACACCTTTGTTTGCTAATTCAATCTAGGTTGTATTAATCCCCTGCTCAATTTCTCCCCCTTCAGTCTGAGCTGCCCAGATGATGTAAGTAGCAACCAATCCCGCTAGTTGCCTTGGCTGGCTCACTTCCGTATTCATTAAGGGGAGGCAGACACTTTTGAAAGGACTGGAAAAATCTTAGCAGCCACCCCTCCCTTACTCAAGTCTTGTTCCATCCCCTTCCCTCCCGCCCCCACCACACACACCCTAACCCCTAGAGACCTGATCTGGGATGAGATGAAGGCAAAGAAAGAAGAAACGGGGACTGTTTCTTCTTGTGGGCCTCACGGGTCCTGGGCACGAGACTCCTGCAATCCTGAGAACTGGTCCTGTTGGAGGCTGGCAAGCAGTATCTGGCTAACCTGCTGGGCCGCCTTCAGCCCTCCTCCCAGCATGCACAGGGCCAGCGTCAAGGTTGGTCAGGGGAGGGGAGGGTGGTTCATGCAGGCACTGAGGGGTCATGCACCACATTCTAATCCCCACTGGTAGAATTAAAGCACCCCACTACTCCTCTGGGAAGGAGGCAGATTTCCTTTCTCTGTCTGGGACTTAGAGTCTGTCTTCCTCTATGGACCTCTAATGTCTCAGCTCTTGGTTTGAAGTCTTTGTAGCAGACAGCGTCTACTTGGAGGGTGGCAGGGTAGAGCTCCCAGACTAAAATTATCTTCCCCCAGGCTACCTAAAATCCTACTATTTGACATTTATTTCTGTAGATCTTGAAAGGTTCTGAGTTTAATTAAGCCTTGCCAACTAATACCTAAAGGAGATGGTAGGTCCATTGATCCATTCCATATAACACACCATATGCAAAGCACTGTGCTAAGTGTTGAAGGTAGGGAGAAAGGTGGTGATACAAAGTCGACGGAAGATGCTATGTAATCTTGTGGCATTTACAGCCGAGGAGGGAGAATGGTATATAGAGAGATAACTACAATACACAGTATTACATGTGTGCATTAGAAAAAATGCAAAAGGCAGTTTTATGTTGGGTGCAAATGCGTACAGGAGGAGAAAGGTCCTTATCAGAGGAATCCAGGAAGCCTTCCTAGAGAAGGAGGCACTTGGGATGGACTTTAAAGAACAGATAGGAATGTAATCTGTGGAAAAGGGAGAGAATGCCTATAAACGTGAGTAAAGGGCAAGAGGCCAGAAGCTGCCAGATGGTTCCAGAAGATAGAAGAAAATGAGATTTTGGCTGAAGAATACACGGGATGGGATGGTAGTAGGGGTGGGGAGGTTAAGGATGAGACAAACTTGGAAAAGTAAAATGGAGCCACATTGCAGAGGGCCTTGAAAGTTAACAAAAAGATTTCAACTTGACTTAGTAGGTAACAAAACAAGAGAGCTGTGGAAGAATAAGGTTCTGTATACTGGAAGGGAGGGTAGAGGGAGAAGAGGGAGGCTGGGCAGACCTCCAAAACGAACTTCACCTACTTCAAGATTTTGCCTGAAGTTGGCCTTTATTGTTGCTGGAACAACCTTCCATTGACCAGGATGGGTTCTAGAGGAAGGAAGGAAGGAAGGAAGGAAGGAAAGAAAGAAAGAAAAAGAAAGAAAGAAAGAAAGAAAGAAAAAGAAAGAAAGAAAGAAAGAAAGAAAGAAGAAAGGAAAGAAAAAAGGAAAGGAAAGGAAAAAAAAGGAAAGGAAAGGAAAGGAAAGAAGAAAAGGAAAGGAAAGGAAAGGAAAGGAAAGGAAAAAAAAGGAAAGAAAGAAAGAAAGAAAGAAAAAAAAAGAAAGAAAGAAAGAAAGAAAGAAAGAAAGAAAGAAAGGAAAGGAAAGGAAAGGAAAGGAAAGGAAAGGAAAGGAAAGGAAAGGAAAGGAAAGGAAAGGAAAGGAAAGGAAAGGAAAGGAAAGGAAAGGAAAGGAAAGGAAAGGAAAGGAAAGGAAAGGAAAGGAAAGGAAAGGAAAGGAAAGGAAAGGAAAGGAAAGGAAAGGAAAGGAGGAAGAAGGAAGGAAAGAAGGAAGGGAGGGAGATCCTCTTTGAAGTTTAAAAAACAATGGAAGGGTAAATAGTGGCACAGTGGATAGAGCACAGCCCTGAAGTCAGGAGGACCTGCGTTCAAATCCAGTCTCAGACCAAACACTGGACACTGGCTGTGTGACCCTGGGCAAGTCACTTAACCCCAATTGTCTCACCAAAAAAAAAACCTGAAAAAAAACAAAAAAAAAAAAGATGGAACAGAGGAGAAAATCAAGTGACTTCAAGACTTCTTAGAAAGTCTTTAAAAATGGAGGAAGTACTAGGCCAGGATTTCTTAACCTTTTCTGTAGCAATGTGGGGAAGCCAATAGACTCCCCAGAATAATGTTTTTTTTAAAGTGCTTAAAATATATGATATTCCAAAGGAAATGAGGTTAATGAAAATTAAAATGTTATTTTTATTTTTCTCATCCAAATTCACAGATTTTCTAAATTCTGTCTCTGGACCCTGCAATAATTACCAGGGTTGGAAAATAGGTGCTCTGGGGAAGGTGGAAGGCCAACTTTGGAAAATGAAGAAAGCTGTCTTGTTCCTATTTAGTCCTAGAAAACTTTCTGAAGGAGGATGTCTTGGAGGTTCCCTTTAAGTCTCAAGGGAAATACCATAGAATATTTGAGAAATCACCAGATTTAAAGAGAGAAGACTTGAGTTCCTCCATTTACTAGCTTGTATGACCATAAGCAGTAGCTTCATGACTCTGAGACTCAGTTTCCTCATCTAAAATTTAGAGTGAGGGCTAGTACTAGGATCTTTTCCAGCTCTAAAAGTCCATAAATTCCCATTCAACTTGAAAGGCAGCAACCAGTGATTGAAGTAACAGAGGATCTGGAGTCAGGAGACCTAGGTTCAAGGAAAGACTCAGACAATAATGCATTTCATAACCATGCATATGTCAATCAACCTCTTTGAACCTCAGTTCCCTAATCAATAAAATATGGATAACAATATTTATGTAATATAGTTTGTTATTGCTCAGTCATTTCAATTGTGTCCAACTGTTTATGACCCCATTTGGGGGTTTTCTTGGCAAAGATACTGGAGCGGTTTGCCATTTCCTTCTTCAGCTCATTTTACAGATGAGGAAACTGAGATGAACAGGGTTAAGTGACTTGCCCAGGGTCACACAGCTGGTAAGTGTCTGAGGCCAGATTTGAACTCAGAAAGATGAGTCTTCCTGACTCCAGGCCTGGCATTCTATCCACTGCACCACCTAGCTGCCCCCCAATAATACAGCTAAGTCCCAATTAGTGTGAATAATGAATCCCTGGAAGTGGTCACATCTACTCGAATTCATTCTATTTAAAGTTATAATTTGTAAAATTGGTTCTAGGCCAATAGAAATATGCAGTATGAATTTGAATAGTGGGACTGCTTCATGAGCTTTATTATTTGAATCAGTATGTAGCAGTACCGCCTTCACAGGGATGATGAGAAGAGAGAGCTTTATCCACTTAGAATGCTTGTTCTCTGTGATTCTGAGTCATAGCTATCTAGGCTGAAGAGCACTCCCCGTCCGTCACTTTGTCCTTCCCTCATACTCGTCCATATCATCTTCATGCCTCTGGTGTCTCTCACCCATTCTTCCCCATCCTTCCTTTAGGTCTTTTAAAACCCCTGTTCTCTTGTTCATATTAAGCCTGTATACTTCCCTCAGGAATGATGGTGTATATTTTATATTTACTTGGGGTCATAGATCTAGAAATGGGAGGGACTTTGGAGGTTATCTAGTCCCTCTCATATTACTAACAAGGACATGGAGGTCCATGGAGGTTAAGTGGGCATGCCTAGAGTCACGTATATGTTATTTATTTCCCATCTCGAAAGAGAATACACAGCTTCTCAAGGGAAGGGACTGTTTTGTTTTTGGCTTTGTGTGTGTGATGGAGCCAGCTGGTCTGAAGAGGTGATTCAATTTTCATTGTATTTATACCTCAAAAGTCCTCAAACTACAAATCAGGGCTCAATATATTGTTTTGTTGATTGTCTAGACTTGAGAAAGTGATGGAGAAAGAATTGATGATGTAGATTAAACTGAAGAGTATGTGTCTGTAATGTTGGAGAGCTGGTTGTTAAACATTTACCAACACACCCTTGCTCCAGTGCCTAACACAGGGCTTCCCTGAGCACAGTATGAATTTCAAAAATGCTTGTTGAGTTCAACTGAATTGTTCTGTGTTTTTTTTTTCTTTGTGAGTTCATAGAAGTGTCTTCCTGAGTTCAAAGCTGGCCTCAGATACTTACTAGCTGTGTGACCTGGGCAAGTCACTTGCCCCTGTTTGCTTCAGTTTCTTCATCTGTAAAATGAGCTGGAGCAGGAAATAGCAAACCACTCCAGTATCTTTGCCAAGAAAAAAAATTGTGACCCAAATGGGATCACAAAGAGTCAGACATCACTAAAAAAAAACCCTAAACAATAGAAGTGGCTAGCTAATATAGGCATTCCTCCACGAGTGCACTGCACTGCTCATCTGAGCCATCCCAAAAGCAGAAAGGTGCTAGTCCCACTATACCCTGGCTTCATTAACCTCACCTGCAGTTCAGGTGTTCAGGTTTGGGCACCATGGTTTAAGAAAGACAATCATCTGGAGAATGTCCAGAGGGGAGATACTAGGGATGGTGAAGGGCCTTGTGTCCATGATATTTGGGACTGATTGAAGGAAATGACCATGTTTATCCTGGAGAAGAAAATGCTCGGAACTGGAGGTGGGGGGGAGGGGAAAAGGAATGATATTTGTCTTCCTGTATTTGAAGGGCTGTCATCTTTAGAGAGGGATTAAACTTATTTGATTTGCCCCAGAAGGCAAAACCAGGATGTTGCTTGTGTTAGGAAAAAACTTCCTAACTTTTAGAAATGCCCCCAAATATAATGACCTGCCTTCATGGAGGTCTTCAAGCAGAGGCAGATCAGCCATGTGTCTGGTATAGTGTAGTAAAGATTCCTTTCAAGTATGAGTCAGTCTAGTTGACCCACCACCAAGGTCGCTTCCAACTCTCCAATTCTGTGATTTTGTGATATTATATGGTGACCTCTTAATGAAGAGATTGTTGTTTCTTTTCCTCTTTGTAGCTCTAGTATACTCCACAGTCCCTTACACGAAGTAGAACCTTTATAAATACTGGTCAAAATATTGGAATTGTAAAATGTAAATGTAAATGTAAAATAAAGTTCTGGATTATTTGCTTCAAAATATAAGCCCATACACAAAATTGAAAGAGAGACAGAAGTATGTGCTTAGCATATGGGAAGGCACAAAGTTCCAGGCAGACTTGAGGGCTGAGGCATGGAGGCCAGAGAAGATCAAATCAGATAAAGCCAGAAGCCATCTGCACTGCCCTAGTGAAATGACTGCAGTTTTCCTAAGATGTCCCAGCCTTCCCGTGACAGGCACCATTCTCCTGGCCCCTCTTGTCCCAAGTGAGTACCAGATAACATCCCACTTTCAGATATTACATCTCCCAAGAGATATTTGTCATATTGTTACCTACGAGGGACAGAGGAGATCCTCTGTTTTTAGCCCTTAACTTTATAGATGAAGGAATTGAGGTCTAGAGAGTATCTTGGTCAAGGTCACACAGCTGGTAAGTGTCAAAGCTAAGATTAGATCCCAGGTCTTCTGACTTTCAGTTCAACTGTGCCATGAAGGCTATCCCCTAGGTCCCTTAAAAAATAGCTATATATAAATAGTTATAAAATAGAAATATAAAATAGATAAATAAAATATAAATAGCTGT